GTCTCTGTCATTTGAGCCAGAGGTGGCAGAAGATCCTGTAAGATGCAGAGGAGATAAAGGTATACACACAGAACAGAAGACACACCAGTTAGTAACACTTCAGCATGTTATTTGGACTCTTTTTCTTTCTGATTCAGAGTAATGTCAAAACAATTTCCCCATTATTCTTTTTGAAAATTAAAGATTTTAATGTAAAGTAGATTAACCTTTAAATCAATGATTATTAAATTTACAATAATATACATATATATATATATATATATATATATATATATATATATATATATCTTCTATAATACAATCAATGTCAATAATCTACCTCCTACGGCACCTGTTTCAGTTCCTCTGCCTAAGTGGGAATAAGAAAATAAATTAGATATACAATATATACATATTCTAAAATGGAATTAAATAAATGAATATACTCATTTATATTTAATACAGACAAATAAACCCCCAGGTTTTGTTCCCCCACCTTGTTCAGTGTCCTCCCAACCTGTTGTTCCCACTGTGGATCCACCATGTTCAATAGTTGGTCTGGCTCCTCCAAGAAACGTAAGTTATTCTGTAATGTCAACTAAAATCGTTCTGCGTATTTTACCTGTTGACTTGATAAATACAGTATACGGTATAATGTTGCACAGTAATTATTCTGGTTAGTTTTACAGCTTACTGGTACAGCAGACTTACTCTCACAGACCGGCACAGAGGACCATGTTCCACTTCTACATATGGTGACTTGCTGGCCTTTGGGTTCATATCCTTGGTCACATGTTACTCTAAGTCTAGATCATCATCTGCTCATGCTGTTCGCCCTAAGTTTTCGTGCAGCCTGCAGGAGCTCTTTTATTTTATTCCCTATCTACTGGTTGTGTCCCTGATTATTTTAAAACGGCTTGCGTGAACCCACTTTTAAAGAAACCTGGTTTAGATCCCTCCCTACCACAAAATTTTAGACCATTTTCAAAACTGCCTTTTATTGCAAAGATTCTAGAAAGAATTGTGTCCAAACAGCTGCTCACTGTACTGGAAAATAACAAAATATTTGAAAAGTTTCAATCTGGTTTCAGGAAGTACCACAGCACTGAGACTGCCCTGCTTAAAGTCACCAATGACCTTTTAATGTCTGCTGATGAAGGCATGTGCTCAGTCCTGGTACTCCTGGACCTTAGCACTGCTTTTGACAGACTGAAGCAATGGGTGGGGATCTCTGGTACGGTGCTAGAATGGTTTTCATCCTACCTGTCAAATAGGAAGTTTTGCGTGTCTGTAAACAACTATGTCTCTTCGTTCTGTCCAGTTAAATATGGTGTGCCTCAGGGGTCGGTCTTAGGACCCATTTTGTTTTCCTTGTATCTGCTTCCCCTTGGACATATTATCCATAAACATGGAATTTCTTTTCATATTTATGCTGATGACACACAAATATACTTGCCCATCAGATCCACAGTCCCTGGAATGCTGAGTTCACAGTATTGGCAGTATTTGTTTTGCCATCTGCTGGTTCCCTAGTAAATCACATTAAGCCTGTGGCAAAGAACCTTGGAGTTTGGTTTGATAGTAATTTAAATTTCAAGCAGCACACCACAAAGCTTGTTCAATCATGTTTTTATCAACTTAGAAATATAGCAAAAATTCAATCTATGTTAACTTTTAAGGACACTGAGACCATTTTACACGCCTTCATCTCATCACGCCTAGATTATTGCAACAGCCTTTTCACCTGTTTAACCCAGAAATCTATTGATCGACTCCAGACTGTCCAGAACTCAGCTGCCAGGCTTTTAACCAGAACAAAGAAATATGACCACATTACTCCTATTTTAGCTTCATTACACTGGCTCCCAGTATGTTTTAGAATTGACTTTAAAATTCTATTGATCACTTTTAAAGCTCTTCATGGCCTCTCGCCTTGTTATATTTCTGACCTTTTAGTCCCATGCACACCAGCACATACCTTGAGATCCTCGGGCAGAGGTCTGCTATCTGTTCCAGAGTCTCGACTGAAAACTAAAGGGGACAGAGCGTTTGTTGTCAGGGCCCCGAGGCTCTGGAACAGTCTGCCCGAGGAAATCAGGTCAGCTGATTCAGTGAACTCTTTTAAGTCCCTTCTTAAAACACAGTGTTATAGGAGAGCATTTCCCAATCTTATTTGACTTTATTTTATCCGTTTTATTTTATTCTATTTTACTAATTTTATATTATCTTTTTTATTTATTTTAGTCTTTTCTTTTCTTTATCTTGTATTGTTTTTGTATTGTTTTTTGGGTATTATTGTCTTTACACTTGTTAAAGCACTTTGTAACTCGTTTTTGAAAAGTGCTCTACAAATAAAGATTATTATTATTATATTAAGTTAGTATAGCTATTTATTACTATGATATTTACTAAGCCTGTGAATAATATTCTTAGAGAACAGAGTGATTAACGGTGTCAAAAAGCCTTGGACAGGTAAATAAATAAAACACAAGTTAGTTTAGCATCCAAGCTCTTGACAATATCATCTACAGCCAGTGTGGCCGCTGTAATAGTACTGTGGCCAGGTCTAAAACCCGACTGGTATTTGTTCAGTAAGCTACATTCAGTTAAAAAAGAACAAAGCTGTCTATTTAGACTGCAGAATTTTAGCCAGGCAAGACAGCTTTGAAATAGGTCGATAATTATCAAGTACTCTAGTGTCTCCTCCATTTTGAAGAGTGAGCACATGCACAGTTTGCAAGATGCAAGATGGACATGCAAGATTCCAGTTGACACAGTTAGATTAAAAATATGCGTTAATGGCCTTGAGATAAAAGGCGCTGCCCTGACCAGCAGGCATGGATCCAATTTGTCTCGACCAGCTGATTTCCTAGCATTTATAGTAATTAAGGCATCTAGGACTTAATTGTCATGAAATGGTTTTATTGCAAAATCTTGTCATATGTTTTTTGTATCCAGCTATCATCTTGCTAAGTAGTAGTGGACAATTTATCAAAGAGATTACTTGATCTAAGAAAGTGGCTATTAAAAGCATCAACAATAATGTTGTTTTTTTATGTCTGTTCTTTCTTCAGTAAATCCTTCAACAGGGATTTCACTGTTTTCCAAAACTTTGCCCCATTACATTCAAGTAAACTATTTACATAGTAGTCTGATTTTGCTTTCTAGTGCACATGGTATTTTGTCTGCCTAAAAGCTAGCCAGCTGAGATATTTTTTTTCTAATCTACAGTTGGACAATTGCTGTTCAGGGGGTCAAATGATTAGTGCATCTCTCAGCACATTGTCCACTTACTGCACGGTGGTCCTTTAGTCCAAGTTCCAGCTATGCAAAAGATGGATTTTTCTGCTCCCTCTACAGTATATCCATCTTCACATTCATACTGCACTTCTGAATCTACAGCAAACATCTCCTGGTATCTCTGATGAATGATGACTGCATGGGGGATTTTAGGAGGTTCACCACATGCAAGGATACTTTCTGTAAAAATAAACCCATTAGTCATCAACAGGTAAAGGTGCTCAGATGTGTGGCTTGGTTGGTGCAACTGGTGAGAATTTAAACCTAAGAATTACAGCACTGATATTATTCTGGTCTCTGTTAGTTTCACAGCTTACTGGTATAGAACATCTGACAGACTTACTCTCACAGACCGGCACAGAGAACCACGTTCCATTTATACATATGGCTGTGACATCCTGGCCTTTGGGTTCATATCCTTTGTCACATGTTATCCTAATAATGTGTCCGTCCTCATACCAACCATTTTGGTTTTCTGTGTATTTTGCATTTGGCATCTCTGGTGGAAGGCATGCTGCTTCGTCTGAGGAAAAGAAAATAATTGCTACAGTGAAAGTATTTAAACTCGGCAAAATTTAAACTTGGCAATTTACATTTCTGCCATTACATGGGTGAATGTTATCTCCAAGGATTTATCATATATTAAAAGACTTGCTGCCAAAGGGAATGCTCCACTGCATTAATTGTGGATATAGGATTAAGATTCAGTTGATGGATGTAAATGAAAAGTCAGGGCATCAACCAAGTTTCATTACAGGGCAACATGAATGTCTAGATCAAATGTCATGACAAAACAGCCAACATGTCCAGTATTTCAGTCTGGATCAAAGTAGTGCACGGCCGACAGACTGACTTTGCCATTCATAGAGTGACGGAGCAACCATGTGGACAAAGTAAAAAACAGCAGAGGGAACACTTACCTATACACTGTGGTGTATGAGACCATTTTCCAGTTTGACATGTGCTTGTTGCCCACCATCCCTTCACCACAGGTTTACGACCAGTATCACAGGTATAACTGAGCTCCGTTCCATGAGAATAAGTCTCTTGCTTTGGGGCAAAGAAACCACCATCCAGTTTAGGAGCACTACAGGACTGTGCAGCGATTTGTGCTAAAATACAATAGTAAGCAAAATTATTCTACAGTCACTGCTTTTGTTTTTAACAAATTTAAATGGTTGGATGTCAAAGTAGTTAATGTTCTTACCATGAAGCACTCCTGGAAACCAAATAAGAAGAACTAATCCAAGATATCTCATGTTCATTTTGTCAGGAATGAAATCATCCCACGACACAGTAAATCTGAGAGCTTAGTCCAGATCAGAACCAGTTAATAATTGTTGGGGGCCTTCTCCCAGAAAGTTTGTCAAGTAAACACACAGGCATCATGCTGTTGTTCTGGAGCCAAAGGAGAGATGGGCAAATAGGCTGCATGTACACACACACCTACAGAAAAGGAGAAAACTACTCTCAAATCATCTTTTTCCTCTTCTTCAGCATACAGAAAGCCCCGGGCTTCAGAATCAGATTGAGAATTAGTAACTGTCAAGTAAGTGGCCGGTGTCCAATACAAATTCTCAATTAAAAGCTCTAAGTAAAATGTATTTAAAAAGAAAGGGCGACAACGCCACCTAGGGGGTACTTGGAGCCCTAGGACTCAGACACACACAGCTTCTTTTAAATTGAGGTTGGAGCAGAGCAGAAACCACAATGAGCTAAAATACATTTAACAATTTATTAATGCAATTAAAAATAAGACTTGATTTAAAAAGGCCTAACTAAAATCAATGTGATGACACAAGTTAAAAAGGGAGCTATATAAAAGGGGAATTAATAGTACTGCACCACAACATGCTAAAACACCACTGTCATGCAATAACAATCACAGCACACAAGTAAAAAACATTCCAAAATAAAACACCAGATGCACAAAAAATGTCGGCCATTTTCTGGCCCTGTGACATCCTGGCCTTTGGGTTCATATCCTTTGTCACATGTTATCCTAATCATATGTCCATCCTCATACCAAACATTTTGGTTTTCTGTGTATTTTGCATTTGGCATCTCCGGTGGAAGGCATGCTGCTTCGTCTGAGGAAAAGAAAACAACACATTTTTACCATGGTGTCAGTCTTTAAAGGTTCAGTGTATCATATTTAGGAGGATCTATTGACAGAAAAACAATATAATATATAACTATGTTTTCAGTGGTGTATAAAGACATGATATAATGAATCGTTAATGTTTTTATTACCTTACAATGAGCCATTTCTATCTACATACACCACGGGAATCCATGTTGATTCCACATTCCAACTTAAGAGCACATGAACACACAAAGTTGGAAGAAGCACTGATTTGTACAAACTAAATCTCGGAACCAGTTAATAATTGTTGGGGGTCGTCTCCCAGAAAGTTTGTTGTTCTGGAGCCAAAAGACAGCTGGGCAAATAGGCTGCACAAACACACACCTACAGAAAAGGAGAAAAACACTCTCATATAATCTTTTTCCTCTTCTTCAGCATACGGAAAGACCCAGGCTTCAGAATCAGTAACTGCTTTGTTGCCATTTAGTTTTTACACATACAAGGAATTTGCCTTGGTGAACAGGTGACTAACAATAGACATAATTACATTATCTTTAGAATTACTTTAGGAATGGAAATTATTGCTATGAGAATTTGTTTGTGGAAGATTCCAGATTCAGATCACTTTTGTCAATATCCATCCATCAATCATCAACCGCTTATCCTGCGTACAGGGTCGCGGGGGGCTGGAGCCAATCCCAGCTGACATCAGGCAAAAGGCGGGGTACACCCGTCCAGGTTGCCAATCCATCGGAGGGCCACTTTTGTCAATATATTTTGTTTTTATAGAATAATTACTTTATGAATCCCACTTGGGAGAAATATGGAATTTATTGTATTAAGTCAACATTAGTTTTTTTGTTTGGGAAAGGCCTGTGATAATGATTAATTTGTCTCCACAGTTCCAGACTCACTGTGGTTCATTTGTTATAAAACTCTCTACAAAAATCGATTTGATTATTTGGAGTCCAAATTTCAATATGATTTACTGGACCGCTCAGATCAGAGGTCATCTTCTGCCAGCACAGATTCAGTTTTTTACGCAGCCTGGCCTTCACTTCTTCTGATTGACAGATGATCTAAAAACATTTGGCCTTCGATCGCTTCTGACAACAACACACACCTTCAGTACACCCAGACTCACATAGATAATCTAGAGACTCAACAAGCCATCCACTTACAAGAGCAGATATTCTAATTGTTAAAAAATGCAGTCTCAAAATTCAAGCTTGTCAAACAGGTTCAAGAAACACACATGTTACATGTTTAAATCTTAAAAATGACAGCTTGCAAAGCTATCCAGAGCAAATTGTCATAGAAAGTTTAACGGAGCACAGCACTAGTTCAGGCAGGCAACAAAGTCAAGCTCAGCTCACAATCCCGCCACGTCAGCTGACTGTTCAGCTGATTCCTCTCTGATTCCTCTCAGCATTCATCAAATAAAGGCACCTTATTCAAGCTGCTATAGCCTGCAAGCAGCTTTTAACCAGCTCTCCTTTCAGGCCCTGTCTGATTATTCATTTCTGTTGTTATTGATGCCTGCTGAGCACACTGCTGGGGCTGGATTCAGCTTCCTCTGTGCACAACACGCACTATATTAGGAGGTTCAAAATGAAAAGTTTGCTATATATCTTGGGCATCCAATCTGAATGCATGGAATGACGCAGGAACACTCCAGTCCTCTGAACAAATTTTATTTCTTCAATACTCAAAGGTTGCATGTACCAACATTTAAGGCGGATAAATACACTTGAGCCGTTCGTTCCGAAAGAAAACAAACATAAGATTAGAACCCAAATTAATATGTCCATTATATGATATGAGGAAAGATAAATATCTTAAGTTAAAGTCCTCAGATAAACTAACATGGACATAGGATAAAACTAAAGAGCAAAATAACCTCTTCTTGTAGAAACCGAGACCAAGTCAAGGTCAAATAGTGAGTGAAAGGGAAAGCAGTCTTTAAATAAAGTGTGATCAGGTGAACTCACTCAGGTAGTCACAAAAGAGCTAAAGCAAATAGTTTTTTAAGGGATCACTCAATTGGCAGAAAAGTAATCAATGACAATTTTGATAAACTGATGAATCACGTAAGTATTTTTTTTCTTCCAGTAAAAATATCAATCACTGAGGCCTTCACATATATTGTGTATTGCCTGTACAAAATGTCACTTGAATGTTCTGTGTTTGTAACTGTGATGCAAAGTTATGTACATATGAGCACAATGATGAAGTATAGAAGAACCTTATTTTAAATACAGTCGTTAATCAAGTCATCAATAAAAAACCATTTAATTGAGAAATTATCTGATTTTAGTAATGAAGGAGTGGAAAAACAAAATAATCATGTGTGGTTAAGTTACTGTTGCATCCTGGAGTTGCTTTGCTGGTGGATTTTAGTTATATGGAAGTCACAGACATTTGAATTAATTAATGGATATTTAAATATCTAAAACAGTGGCAATGCTCTTCTTAAAACATTGTGTCATGATGAATAAAATTTAAAGATTCTTTTGAGTTATTAAGGCTGTGACAGACAGCCTGTACAGGTGGTACTCCCCCTGGGAGTGCATACAGGATCAGGATAAGCAGGTATGAATAAAGGATGGACAGATTACTTTTGGGGCATGACTTCAGCACAAGAACTCAGCAGACACAAGATTAGTGTTGAAATTCCAGTTGAATACTTTATTCAGGTAAGTCTTACAAGCAAGATAGTTTTGCAGCTTTGAGCATACAGACCGACAGTTTGCTCCTACATTATGTAGCCATCCATGGATCAATATGGTTTTTGAAAAACCCATCACGTGCGTGATAGCATGATTGGGTGTGAATGCTGCAAGCATTCGCAGCCTATGTTAATATAGCTTTGTTGTTTCTCAAAAGTTTCCAGTCTGGCATTTGTTTTCAGTCGGTGGTGAGCATATCCAAAGGCAGCAGTATCTTCCCCTTGGTGATACAGTCTTAGCAAGTATTCTGGTTACAAGACAGAGGTTTAAACAAACATTAAACACTTTCAGTTAAATGTAATGAACTAATATATATATATATATATATATATATATATATATATATATATATATATATATATAAAGTATAATCAGGAGTAAAACTCACCATCTTTAGCTGAAACTTGTTACAACCTGAAAACAATCAAAGAGGCACAGCTGTGATTATGTGAAGGAGATTATTGACTTTTGATAGGGAGGTGAAGTCTGATTTACTAAATGTCTGCAGTTTTCTTTCTGTTTTATTGTATTGTTTTGTTCATTGAATTAGTTGTAGAGGACCAGTACTTTTAAATCATGGTGCAGAAGCCTATAGTGAATCAGCTATATAATATAATATAATAATAATAAAAAATAATAATACTGTAGCTGGACATGTTTCCCCTCGTCTTTCTTTTCTTTGGTGCAAAGTAAACAAAAAAATCTCAGCAGCCAACAAGCTTATTTTGCTACCTTTAGACAGAGCCAAGCTAGTTGCCTTGCGTTATTATCTTTGTGGGGACCCATCATTGACAATGCATTCCCTAGAACATTACCCAAACCTTAACCATCACAACTACATCCTAACCCTTAACCTAACCTTAATCTAATTCTAACACTAAAACCAAGTCTTGACCCTCAAAAAGCCCTCGAGTCCAGCATTTTGGTCCCAACAAATCTTTTGGACCTCACAAGTATAGCGGTCTGGTGTTTGGAATCCATAAATACACACACACTTTATCTTAGCTGCCACTGATTAGGGAAAACAACAAAACTGCTGTATTTGTTTAATGGCATATTTACATGTAATGAGCTCATAGTGATACTTACATCTGGTAAACGTCATTCTTCCATCAGCACAGCGGCCCACAGAATAATTATTAAACATCCAGAGATCCTTACATTTGAATGTCTCACTCTCACCATTTTTTAGAATTTTTACTCCAGCAGGTTCTAAGGCTGGATATTCATTTGTATCCACAGAACAGAAGGTAGCTGCACAAAACAATAAAATAGAAAATGTGTTGTTATTTTCCCAGCCCACCTCTTTGATAGACCTTTAGAACTGACTTGTTTATACCTCTGCAGGTGGGTACTTCTGACCATGTGCCATCACTGTAACAAACCACTGCCGCTGGACCCACTTGTGTGTAAAAGGAACCGCACTAGTACGTTAAAAACATTTGACCCGTTTTCACAACATCACTGTGACGGAGCGGCTCCGTCCAGCCTCAATTAAGCCGGTCATAAAACCTTTTTATCATGCATTTTTCTTCTACTGTTTAAGTAGCGCGATCAAGGGTGCACACTTGGTAGTTCTATTCTTCTTTAAGCATACATTTAAACAAACATCAAACACTTACTATGTGTCGAGATGCATCGCAGGTTTGCTCTGTTTCCCATCCAGTTTGGCAAAACAGGAGCGTAACATTTCCTTCTTTTAAATAGCATGTTCTCGCGCGCTTTCATGGTCATGTGAACTGCAAAATTATGGTTTTTGGTTGTAATAATAATTTGTGATGTAAATAACTGGAAGGAAAATGTTTGTGGAGGTGGATATAATATTGTTGAAAATATGTCGAAGTGTAATAGATATAAATCCTTTTCTGGAGTTAGTAAAAACTGTTTATTATATTGTGTAAATAATGGTTAAGCCTAGTGGGAAGGGCTACTGTCTTTAAAAGTGGCAGCTTTGGGCCTGTGAGGTCAGTCTTGGCCTGGTCACAGAGGAGGTAACTAGTGATTTGTATTTTTGAGGGGATAGAGAGAAACTGAGTTATCAAAGTATTTTTTTTGTGTAACTTTATTATTGAGTAAGTTATTAATTTTTTTCAAATCGTTATTTTTTTAGTTTTGTTTTCTTTATACAAGTTTTTCACTGTTTGCACTTTGGAGGCCGGCATAATAAAAATCACGCCACTATTTTTCGACTACGCATGTGTTTTTCCCTATTTTGAGGAGGTTGGACGAGAACCCCCGCTACAATCACCATTAGGAACTGTGGGTTCCACAGTTGCTCACTGAAATATAAAAAATAAAAAAGGTTTTATGGAAATAAATATTTTGAGCTGTCATAGAAGAGTTTACCACCAATAAATTTCACATAAGGATACACACAATGCATTTTGGTGAGTAACACTGAATACAAACAGAAACTTTGTTTACAAGCAAACTCTATAGGGCATCTTAAAATAGTGGGTCATAAAAAACAAAACACTGAGGAATGTTGCTATAAATCTTTGTAGAACTGAGAGAAACTGTAGCTGGCTGATTCTCTGTGGGTTCTCTGAATGACACCTTTCACAAATCTCTCATTTGATCTATTCCTTTAAGCTTTTTATAACACGATTGATCAGTGTTGCAAACCTGTCTTCTAGAAACAAAACTATAAACTGTGCCACCTACCAAACCTGCAACATTCTTTAAATACTTTTAATATTTTGATTAGTTGCTTATTCTTAAATAAGCAACTAACCAAAATAATAATCTAAATGATTCATTGTATTTTCATGCACCTGTTGCTGCAACATTCTTTAAATACTTTTAATATTTTGATTAGTTGCTTATTCTTAAATAAGCAACTAGTTGCTTTTAGATTAGTTGCTTATTCTTAAATAAGCAACTAACCAAAATAATAATCTAAATATTAATTCATTGTATTTTCATCACTGCATATCTCAGCACATTGTCCACTTACTGCACGGTGGTCCTTCAGTCCAGTTTCCAGCTATGCAAAGGATGGATTTTTTGCTGTCTGCTCCCTCTACAGTATATCCATCTTCACATTCATACTGCACTTCTGAATCTACAGCAAACACCTCCTGGTATTCCTGATCAATGATGACTGCATGGGGGATTTTAGGAGGCTCACCGCAAACCTGGATACTTCCTGTAAAAATAAGCACACTGTCATGTGAGTGGTTACTTGGTTGTTGCAGCTGGTGAGAATTCAAGCCTAAGAATTAACAGCACTGATATTATTCTGGTCTCTGTTAGTTTCACAGCTTACTGGTATAGAACATCTGACAGACTTACTCTCACAGACCGACACAGAGGACCACGTTCCACTTCTACATATGGCTGTGACATCCTGGTCTTTGGGTTCATATCCTTTTTCACATGTTATCCTAATCATGTGTCCGTCCTCATACCAACCATTTTGGTTTTCTGTGTATTTTGCATTTGGCATCTCCGGTGGAAGGCACGCTGCTTCGTCTGAGGAAAAGAAAACAACACATTTTTACCATGGTGTCAGTCTTTAAAGGTTCAGTGTGTCATATTTAGGAGGATCTATTGACAGAAAAACAATATAATATATATAACTATGTTTTCAGTAGTGTACAAAGATATGATATAATGAATCCATCCATCCATCCATCGTCAAACACTTATCCTGCATACAGGGTCCCAGCTGACATCGGGCGAAAGGCGGGTTATACCCTGGACAGGTTGGCAGTCCATCACAGGGCGATATAAGGAACCGTTAATGTTTTTATTACCTTACAATGAGCCATTTCTACCTACGTACACCGCGGGTCCTCTAACATGGACGGCGCCATGTTCCAACAGTAGCCCAAATGGACAAAAGGCTCTAGAGAGCGCTGGAGAGAATGTGGAATCCATGTTGAGTCCACATTCCAACTTAAGAGCACATGAACACACACTGAAGTTGGAAGAACCACTGATTCTTACACACTGACCCTTTAAAAAGGTGGTATTATGCTCATTTTCAGGTTCAAAATCTTAAGTAGGGGTTGTACCAGAACAGGTTTACATGGTTCAACTTTCAAAAAACACCATATTCTTCTCATACTGCACATTGCTGCAGCTCCTCTTTTCACCCTATGTGTTGTACGCTCCGCTCTTGAGCTACAGAGGGATGCATCTTACTTGTACAAAATCTTTGTTGGGAGTTGCACATGCGCTGTTCCCAGGTAAGGACTACTAGCCAATCAGAAGCAGAGAAGTGCGGGTCGTAAGAAACAAGTGTAGCGCTCCTACCCTCTAGAAAGTAAGTTTGGGCAGGGCCCCGAGTTCTTTTAGAATATTGTTTCTTAACATCAACACTGAAACCCGGCGTCAACTATCTTAGCTTCCCTTGTAGTCAAAATGTGAAACTCAGATATGATAACTGGCTTTCAGATAAAATAATCAACACCACTCTACTATATGATTAAAGTTCTCTTATTCTTTAGAAAAATAAAATAAATGCAAAATAAACAATCACTCGTTTCACACAAGATCTGCGGTAATTCAGTAGTTCTGTTGCAAGATAACAATACCACAGTTCACCACACTATAACACTCTCACATACAGCTGGCAAAACCACTTCAAACAACGTTGCAGGCCTGATGCGTGGCTCGTGTACGTTGAGACCCAAAAGCAATTGGTCGTTTATGAGCAGGAAAATAAAATAAAGGAGTGCCTGATAACTGGTGCACTTCTGTGAGTTTTTTGTGATGTGTCTACCGTCAGTCACTGTCTGCTGGAGTGAAGTGTCGATGCCCATGATGCTCCTCCTATCATGCCCACTGGCATCAACCAATGAAAACCCACTCTTAAGACTCCAGCACAATTACCACAGATTTACAACTTGCATATACAACCCATGAACTCTTCATAACATGTCTTTAACTAAACATTATCTTTAAGTTATTTATCATACAACATATGTGCAACATACAACAGTTTTTAACAAAAATACATCACCATATTTTTACCATCAATATGCAATGACTTTTAATATCAGTATACTATTTAGGTAGTGTGATCCAAATCAAAGCCGCTTCAGACTGCGACCGTAACCTAGCAGATGGTATAAGTTACTTATTAATTTTTATCTATGTACTGTATATTTATTATTACGTTGTAGCTGTTGTTGTTTTGTCTTGGTTTTTCTGTGTGCTATGGACCTTCCATTCTGAGTCCTGAATAAAGTCATTATTATTATTATTATTATATTACTCACAAGTCCACAACAGTCTGTCGTGTTTTCACGTTACATTTTAGTTTCCCTCAGCTCGCTTGGAACCTCGACAGAGGTGATGTGATGTGAAAAAAAGTACATGGAAGCAGGTGCAACATTTCTACAATGGAAAACCAAACAAAGGCGAGTCAAGCCAAAGGGCCTCTGCTCAGACTAGCTTGGTTTGAGGGTGTGCCTGACCCCGCTAGCCGCTTGGCAAGCTTTATGACGCGTTTTCATTGTGACGTCACAGTGAAGGAAGTGAAGGGCTGGACTACAAACAAGCTGTTTTCAAACGGTTCAGAGCAGAGCTTTCTGTGGGAGATGGGAACTCCCTTTGTGCTGGACTTTGGGCTTTTTCACTTTGCAAACCTGTTAACGTGCACAAAAAATAGATATATCTCAATAAAAGGAGAGAGAAAAAGCCAAAAAACATAATACCACCTCTATTTGTAAATGTTTATGTTTAAAATATTTCTGCAATTATTTGCATGAATATTCCTCCAAGGACTTATTATATATTGGCTGCTAAAGGGAATGCTCCACTGCCTTGATTATGGATATATGATTAAAGTTAAATTAAATAATATAGATGAAAATTAAGCCAAGTTATTACAATTCATAATCCCGAGGGCAACATGAATGTCTAGACCAAATGTCATTGCAATCAATCCAACACGTTCAGTATTTCAGTCTGGATCAAAGTAGTGCACGGCCGACAGACTGACTTTGCCATTCATAGAGTGACGGAGCAACCATGTGGACAAAGTAAAACAGCAGAGGGAACACTTACCTATACACTGTGGTGTATGAGACCATTTTCCAGTTTGACATGTGCTTGTTGCCCACCATCCCTTCACCACAGGTTTACGACCAGTATCACAGGTATAACTGAGCTCCGTTCCATGAGAATAAGTCTCTTGCTTTGGGGCAAAGAAACCACCATCCAGTTTAGGAGCACTACAGGACTGTGCAGCGCTTTGTGCTAAAATACAATAGTAAGCAAAATTACTCTACAGTCACTGCATTTGTTTTTAACAAACTTAAATGGTTGGATGTCAAAGTATTTAATGTTCTTACCATGAAGCACTCCTGGAAACCAAATCAGAACTAATCCAAGATATCTGATGTTCATTTTGTCAGGAATGAAATCATCCCACGACACAGTAAATCTGAGAGCTTAGTCCAGATCAGAACCAGTTAATAATTGTTGGGGGCCTTCTCCCAGAAAGTTTGTCAAGTAAACACACAGGCATCATGCTGTTGTTCTGGAGCCGAAGGAGAGATGGACAAATAGGCTGCATGTACACACACACCTACAGAAAAGGAGAAAACTACTCTCATATCATCTTTTTCCTCTTCTTCAGCATACAGAAAGCCCCGGGCTTCAGAATCAGATTTAGAATCAGTAACTGCTTTATTTGCCATGTAGTTTTACACATTTGCTTTGTTGACTAGTTGCATAACAATAGACATAATTACATGTAACTTATTATTAATTACTTAGGGCAAATACGTCATTTGTTAATTCCACATTTGTTTGGAAAATGCCTGTCATAATGATTAATTTGTCCCAGAGTACCAGAATCTCTATGGTTTATTTGTTATAAAACTCTCTACAAAAATCTATTTGAGTATTTGTCCAAACTTCAAAATGTTTTACTGGACTGCTCTGATCAGAGGTCAGCCTGCACTGATTTAGTTATTTATGTAGCCTGGCCTTCACTTCTTCTGATTAACAGATTCTGATTAACAGATGATCTAAAAACACATATTTGTCCTTGATTGCTTCTGAGAACACAAACCTTCAGAACATCCAGATCTACATGGATAATCAACCATTATGTGAGAGTAAGACTCAACTAGCCAAGAGCATTGCAGTCAAACAGGTTTAGGTAACGCATGTTACAAGTTTAAATCAGATAATCTCTAAAATGTCAGCTTACCACATTGTAAGAGCAAAGCTATTCAGAGCAAATACTTTGTCATAGAAGGTTCATTACATTTTATTTACACAATATAAACAAAACCTGTGCATCGGAACATCATCAGGGACAGTTTGAGTAAATTACCTCCATCTGCTCACAGTGTGTGAAACTGAAGTCTATGAATTCAGTGACAAGTTGCACTCTTACAGTTAACTATCTTGAAATTTAAACAAGTTAACTTAACTTATTGTAGATAAAATGTTTGTAGATGGAATCCATAGGTCACCACATTTTCTGTGTGCAATGACAAACGATCTACACAGTCACCACTGTTGCAGTTACAAATAACACTACCTGAACAAGTTTGCATAAACTCCTGATCCTGTTTAGCCATGCTAGCAGCATGGTCATTGGTTCATCACCACTTTGGTCCACAATTAAATATCTCTACAACTATCTGATAGATTGCGGTGTAATTTGGTGCACACATTCATGTTCTTGTCAGGGTGAGTTGATTTAACTTTGTTAGAACTAGTGCCGTCATTTAATTTGCCCAATTATTTGGTTCATAACTAAATACCTGCAGAACTAAAGACGTTCTCATCAGCCTTAGATGTACTGTATGTTCTTATTTTATTATTCTGTCAATGAACCATCATGTATTGCACTTCTACATCAGTGTCGGTTAGGCAGCAACATGTTGCATTTCAAACATGCAGCTTCAGATGCTGTAAATAGCTTTGGACAGTTGTGTTTTTTATTTTATTTGATTATGATGACCCCACCATGAAGCACTTAAACTGACAATGGATTTTGTCAAGAGTTTGTATTAATGCTGTCTCAAGTATGATAATATAAGAAGAACTAGTGCTTGCAGAGAGGAAGGACTGTTCTGAACAATGTGTAGACAAAATAATACAAAGATCTCTGTTAAGATTTCTAGTGAACATTACTGTAGGCCATATGACCCTTATACAGTCAAAATATTGATCATGTTATTAGTGCATGAAGTTTTAAAAAAATCAAGTACAATTGAGACAACATGTTTTTGGGCGTAGTTGTTTTATGGTGGAGGTATTTCAAAAGTTTCCAACTTGGCTTTTGTTGTCAGCCCAGCAGTTGTTCTTCTCTTGTGCTTTATCGGCATAAACCCTGTTTACAACACAGACAATAAGCAATAATGTTAATAGCTAATTCATCAATATTAACATGGTATTAAATTGCAGGATAAAGTTCAAATAAAGTATTGTCCAACAATAAATAAACAATTTAACAGTAATTACATTCTTTAAAAAAGTAAATCCAAGAATAACACTTACCCGTTGAATGTCATAATAATGACAACCTAAAAGAATCCAACAGCAGCACAGCAGTGAATATTTCAGTAGGTAGTTTAATTCACACAAACATTTGTTACTGATGGCTGATTCACTACATTTCTGCTTAGCTGCACCTACTGAGGAAAATCTGTTCTGTTCTTATAGGACAAGACTGGTGTTATTCTATATTTCCTACTGTAGACAAATTCCATGACAAGATACCCATTTTTATTAGTGTTTGAGATATTTTGCTGTTCACAAACCGTGTGTCGTAGGGTTGTGGGGCAGCTGGATCTAACACGGTCAAACAGGAGAGGGTCGAGTGGCTGAAATGGTGTAAACTGGGAGCATGGCGGAGGATAAAGGGAAATAGCTGTTGGCCACAGAGTTTGCATTAGGAAAGGGTCAACGATGGAAGGCAATGTAGGGAAGGAAAATGTGCTGTGGTTTTGGAGAGTAAGGAGATAAAAGATGAGACAGGTGACAATAGAAAATGTTGGGTGGAGAAAACTCCATGGCTTGATGCTGTTGAGGCGTTATGAACAGAAACGTTTAATTTTACAGAGGAGGAAGACGAGGCTGAAGGAGCCAAAGGAGCAGTATTAGTGGTGGCTGAAAAGTGAAGAGGAAAGGATGCTATGAATGTGTTTAAATAAAGAAAAGAGATGAGACATATTAGACACAAAGGGAGAAGGTATTGAGTGAAGAAGGTTGGAGCAGCTCTGCTGTTGGTGGGTGGTGTGATGACATGAGAAAGCACTGGGTGAACTAACTGGAGTATGGGGATATGAGAAGCTGGCTGGAGTGCTGGATATGGAGACATATAGTTGGAAAAGTTTGGCTTTTTGCTGTTTCGATGAGAAGAAATGTTCTTATCCTCAGGGGCAAGCTGCAAGAGTGCCAGTCCAGTTGGACATGTTTGGTTCTTTTCATGGGATTTGTTGACAATAAGAAAACTATAGAGTAATGCCAGGCTTATTTTCTAAATACTCAGGTTTCCGTTCTTGGTGTTCTTTTTTCCTTTTATTCTTTTCCTTTTTCTTGAAACTATCACACTGAAAATGATTCATATCTAAATCACTTTAGTTCATATTCATAAACATAGTAGCTGACAATAAAAAGGTTGAAACTAAAAGTTTAGTGGCAAATAAATATGTGAAGAGCTTACATATATACTTACAGCTTGTATGCTGTATTCTTCCTTCAATGCACTGAAAAACCCTCCTCCAATTAGAAGAATAAATGCATGGAAATGTCTTTTTCTCTCCTTCCTTGATATATTCAACTCCAGATAGTTGAAAGTTGTCCCAACGATGTCTAGTATGATCCACGACACAGAATGCCTCTGCACAAAAGTAATACAAAAAAAACACATATATGTAATTATGTGGTATAACATCTTTGATAGACTTTGAGAATGAAAAATTGTGATATTGACTTGTTTAAACCTTTGCAGATGGGAAGGTCTGACCAACTGCCATCACTGTAACACGTCACGGTGTCTGAACCGACTCGTGTGTAAAAGGCAACCTGCCAGCGATGAGCTTCACCGGGAGGATGGATCACAGAAAATACACACCATGCCTATCCCCAAACCACTCAGTGAGGCTACAGATTCTTTTACAGTAACTGGTCAGCTAGTGAAGAAATATTTGAATAGTAAATATATAAACAAAACCCGATACATGTGATGTAAAAGGAGCATTTGATCTGAATGATTTACTTGACATGAATGCAGGTTGACTGTCTCTGTCATTTGAGCCAGAGGTGGCAGAAGATCCTGTAAGATGCAGAGGAGATAAAGGTATACACACAGAACAGAAGACACACCAGTTAGTAACACTTCAGCATGTTATTTGAACTCTTTTTCTTTCTGATTCAGACTAATGTCAAAACAATTTCCCCATTATTCTTTTTGAAAATTAAAGATTTTAATGTAAAGTAGATTAACCTTTAAATCAATGATTATTAAATTTACAATAATATATATAGTATATATATATATATATATATATATATATATCTTCTATAATACAATCAATGTCAATAATCTACCTCCTACGGCACCTGTTTCAGTTCCTCTGCCTAAGTGGGAATAAGAAAACAAATTAGATATACAATATATACATATTCTAAAATGGAATTAAATAAATGAATATACTCATTTATATTTAATACAGACAAATAAACCCCCAGGTTTTGTTCCCCCACCTTGTTCAGTGTCCTCCCAACCTGTTCTTCCCACTGTGGATCCACTATGTTCAATAGTTGGTCTGGCTCCTCCAAGAAACATATAGATTTAATGAAAGTTATTCTGTAATGTCAACTAAAATCGTTCTGCGTATTTTACCTGTTGACTTGATAAATACAGTATACGGTATAATGTTGCACAGTAATTATTCTGGTTAGTTTTACAGCTTACTGGTACAGCAGACTTACTCTCACAGACCGGCACAGAGGACCATGTTCCACTTCTACATATGGTGACTTGCTGGCCTTTGGGTTCATATCCTTGGTCACATGTTACTCTAAGTCTAGATCATCATCTGCTCATGCTGTTCGCCCTAAGTTTTCGTGCAGCCTGCAGGAGCTCTTTTATTTTATTCCCTATCTACTGGTTGTGTCCCTGATTATTTTAAAACGGCTTGCGTGAACCCACTTTTAAAGAAACCTGGTTTAGATCCCTCCCTACCACAAAATTTTAGACCATTTTCAAAACTGCCTTTTATTGCAAAGATTCTAGAAAGAATTGTGTCCAAACAGCTGCTCACTGTACTGGAAAATAACAAAATATTTGAAAAGTTTCAATCTGGTTTCAGGAAGTACCACAGCACTGAGACTGCCCTGCTTAAAGTCACCAATGACCTTTTAATGTCTGCTGATGAAGGCATGTGCTCAGTCCTGGTACTCCTGGACCTTAGCACTGCTTTTGACAGACTGAAGCAATGGGTGGGGATCTCTGGTACGGTGCTAGAATGGTTTTCATCCTACCTGTCAAATAGGAAGTTTTGCGTGTCTGTAAACAACTATGTCTCTTCGTTCTGTCCAGTTAAATATGGTGTGCCTCAGGGGTCGGTCTTAGGACCCATTTTGTTTTCCTTGTATCTGCTTCCCCTTGGACATATTATCCATAAACATGGAATTTCTTTTCATATTTATGCTGATGACACACAAATATACTTGCCCATCAGATCCACAGTCCCTGGAATGCTGAGTTCACAGTATTGGCAGTATTTGTTTTGCCATCTGCTGGTTCCCTAGTAAATCACATTAAGCCTGTGGCAAAGAACCTTGGAGTTTGGTTTGATAGTAATTTAAATTTCAAGCAGCACACCACAAAGCTTGTTCAATCATGTTTTTATCAACTTAGAAATATAGCAAAAATTCGATCCATGTTAACTTTTAAGGACACCAAGACCATTTTACACGCCTTCATCTCATCACGCCTAGATTATTGCAACAGCCTTTTCACCTGTTTAACCCAGAAATCTATTGATCGACTCCAGACTGTCCAGAACTCAGCTGCCAGGCTTTTAACCAGAACAAAGAAATATGACCACATTACTCCTATTTTAGCTTCATTACACTGGCTCCCAGTATGTTTTAGAATTGACTTTCAAATTCTATTGATCACTTTTAAAGCTCTTCATGGCCTCTCGCCTTGTTATATTTCTGACCTTTTAGTCCCATACGCACCAGCACGTACCTTGAGATCCTCGGGCAGAGGTCTGCTATCTGTTCCAGAGTCTCGACTGAAAACTAAAGGGGACAGAGCGTTTGTTGTCAGGGCCCCGAGGCTCTGGAACAGTCTGCCCGAGGAAATCAGGTCAGCTGATTCAGTGAACTCTTTTAAGTCCCTTCTTAAAACATAGTGTTATAGGAGAGCATTTCCCGATCTTATTTGACTTTATTTTATCCGTTTTATTTTATTCTATTTTACTAATTTTATAATTATCTTTTTTATTTATTTTAGTCTTTTCTTTTCTTTATCTTGTATTGTTTTTGTATTGTTTTTTTGGGTATTATTGTCTTTACACTTGTTAAAGCACTTTGTAACTCGTTTTTCAAAAAAGTGCTCTACAAATAAAGATTATTATTATTATATTATTAAGTTAGTATAGCTATTTATTACTATGATATTTACTAAGCCTGTGAATAATATTCTTAGAGAACAGAGTGATTAACGGTGTCAAAAAGCCTTGGACAGGTAAATAAATAAAACACAAGTTAGTTTAGCATCCAAGCTCTTGACAATATCATCTACAGCCAGTGTGGCCGCTGTAATAGTACTGTGGCCAGGTCTAAAACCCGACTGGTATTTGTTCAGTAAGCTACATTCAGTTAAAAAAGAACAAAGCTGTCTATTTAGACTGCAGAATTTTAGCCAGGCAAGACAGCTTTGAAATAGGTCGATAATTATCAAGTACTCTAGTGTCTCCTCCATTTTGAAGAGTGAGCACATGCACAGTTTGCAAGATGCAAGATGGACATGCAAGATTCCAGTTGACACAGTTAGATTAAAAATATGCGTTAATGGCCTTGAGATAAAAGGCGCTGCCCTGACCAGCAGGCATGGATCCAATTTGTCTCGACCAGCTGATTTCCTAGCATTTATAGTAATTAAGGCATCTAGGACTTAATTGTCATGAAATGGTTTTATTGCAAAATCTTGTCATATGTTTTTTGTATCCAGCTATCATCTTGTTAAGTAGTAGTGGACAATTTATCAAAGAGATTACTTGATCTAAGAAAGTGGCTATTAAAAGCATCAACAATAATGTTGTTTTTTTATGTCTGTTCTTTCTTCAGTAAATCCTTCAACAGGGATTTCACTGTTTTCCAAAACTTTGCCCCATTACATTCAAGTAAACTATTTACATAGTAGTCTGATTTTGCTTTCTAGTGCACATGGTATTTTGTCTGCCTAAAAGCTAGCCAGCTGAGATATTTTTTTTCTAATCTACAGTTGGACAATTGCTGTTCAGGGGGTCAAATGATTAGTGCATCTCTCAGCACATTGTCCACTTACTGCACGGTGGTCCTTTAGTCCAAGTTCCAGCTATGCAAAAGATGGATTTTTCTGCTCCCTCTACAGTATATCCATCTTCACATTCATACTGCACTTCTGAATCTACAGCAAACATCTCCTGATATCTCTGATGAATGATGACTGCATGGGGGATTTTAGGAGGTTCACCACATGCAAGGATACTTTCTGTAAAAATAAACCCATTAGTCATCAACAGGTAAAGGTGCTCAGATGTGTGGCTTGGTTGGTGCAACTGGTGAGAATTTAAGCCTAAGAATTACAGCACTGATATTATTCTGGTCTCTGTTAGTTTCACAGCTTACTGGTATAGAACATCTGACAGACTTACTCTCACAGACCGGCACAGAGAACCACGTTCCATTTATACATATGGCTGTGACATCCTGGCCTTTGGGTTCATATCCTTTGTCACATGTTATCCTAATAATGTGTCCGTCCTCATACCAACCATTTTGGTTTTCTGTGTATTTTGCATTTGGCATCTCTGGTGGAAGGCATGCTGCTTCGTCTGAGGAAAAGAAAATAATTGCTACAGTGAAAGTATTTAAACTCGGCAAAATTTAAACTTGGCAATTTACATTTCTGCCATTACATGGGTGAATGTTATCTCCAAGGATTTATCATATATTAAAAGACTTGCTGCCAAGGGATGCTCCACTGCATTAATTGTGGATATAGGATTAAGATTCAGTTGATGGATGTAAATGAAAGTCAGGGCATCACCAAGTTTCATTACAGGGCAACATGAATGTCTAGATCAAATGTCATGACAAAACAGCCAACATGTCCAGTATTTCAGTCTGGATCAAAGTAGTGCACGGCCGACAGACTGACTTTGCCATTCATAGAGTGACGGAGCAACCATGTGGACAAAGTAAAAAACAGCAGAGGGAACACTTACCTATACACTGTGGTGTATGAGACCATTTTCCAGTTTGACATGTGCTTGTTGCCCACCATCCCTTCACCACAGGTTTACGACCAGTATCACAGGTATAACTGAGCTCCGTTCCATGAGAATAAGTCTCTTGCTTTGGGGCAAAGAAACCACCATCCAGTTTAGGAGCACTACAGGGCTGTGCAGCACTTTGTGCTAAAATACAATAGCAAGCAAAATTACTCTACAGTCACTACTTTTGTTTTTAACAAATTTAAATGGTTCGATGTCAAAGTATTTAATGTTCTTACCATGAAGCACTCCTGGAAACCAAATAAGAAGAACTAATCCAAGATATCTCATGTTCATTTTGTCAGGAATGAAATCATCCCACGACACAGTAAATCTGAGAGCTTAGTCCAGATCAGAACCAGTTAATAATTGTTGGGGGCCTTCTCCCAGAAAGTTTGTCAAGTAAACACACAGGCATCATGCTGTTGTTCTGGAGCCAAAGGAGAGATGGGCAAATAGGCTGCATGTACACACACCTACAGAAAAGGAGAAACTACTCTCAAATCATCTTTTTCCTCTTCTTCAGCATACAGAAAGCCCCGGGCTTCAGAATCAGATTGAGAATTAGTAACTGTCAAGTAAGTGGCCGGTGTCCAATACAAATTCTCAATTAAAAGCTCTAAGTAAAATGTATTTAAAAAGAAAGGGCGACAACGCCACCTAGGGGGTACTTGGAGCCCTAGGACTCAGACACACACAGCTTCTTTTAAATTGAGGTTGGAGCAGAGCAGAAACCACAATGAGCTAAAATACATTTAACAATTTATTAATGCAATTAAAAATAAGACTTGATTTAAAAAGGCCTAACTAAAATCAATGTGATGACACAAGTTAAAAAGGGAGCTATATAAAGGGGAATTAATAGTACTGCACCACAACATGCTAAAACACCACTGTCATGCAATAACAATCACAGCACACAAGTAAAAAACATTCCAAAATAAAACACCAGATGCACAAAAATGTCGGCCATTTTCTGGCCCTGTGACATCCTGGCCTTTGGGTCATATCCTTTGTCACATGTTATCCTAATCATATGTCCATCCTCATACCAAACATTTTGGTTTTCTGTGTATTTTGCATTTGGCATCTCCGGTGGAAGGCATGCTGCTTCGTCTGAGGAAGAA